AAGAAAGCCACCAGCTACATATCACCTATTAATTACTAGTGTGCCATGTGATGTCAGGTGTGTGGTGGTAGGCAGGCACATATGTTCATCCGGCTATAGACAGATATTGAATTTCTGCAATGCTATATCCTGCTTCATTAGCACTGTAAACAGGAACAACAACAACACACACACACACACACACACACACACACACACAAAAACCACCCACAGAGAGTATATATTATATTACACTCAAGGGATTATTTTTAATGGGAAACCTAAATCTCCCTTCAGCAGAGGGAGTTAGGTAGATGCCTCCATGTGATGTACTGATTTTGTCAGTTATGCTTCAGTCTACTTTTAAGCACATTGAATGTGGATTCTGGAGGCTACATATCAAAGCAAACTACGATAAGATATATTTGTCCTTGAATCTGTGCTAGTTTTCAAATGACTTTTGAAGGTATCACTAAAGGCTAGGAGGTCAACTTGCTATTTATTTGCAGTCTAATGAGTAACTCTAGAAAGTATGTTGATTGGTCCTGCATTATAGCACCCTTAACTACTCTAAATGTTGACTGAGCCTTTGCTACAATACACCCTAGGTATTCTGTCTCTTGACTGGCCTGTATTGCAACATCCCCTACCTACTTCTCCTGTTGACTGAGCCCACATTACAGCAACCCCTAGCTATTCCATGTGTTGATACACCTGTATTACAGCAGCCACTAGCTACTTCATCCTACATTGCTTCAACAGTATTTGCCAAATATAAGGAAAAGACAAAAAAATGTAGAAGTGAACACTATGCAAAATTATCCCGGTTTTATTTGTCAACTAAGACAACACTCCAATCACTTTTTTTTTCTAAATCCCTAATAACAATGCAAGGATTTGGATTTGAAATGACAATTTCCTTTACTTCTATTAATAATCCCAAATAAGGTTGGCATGTCGTGTCATACTAAATTTCCAATACATTACTAATCACATAAAGGCTTTCATTTGAAGCTTTTCACAATTAAGTACAGCAGGCTGCTTACGGATCCTCATTAGTGTGTGGCCTTTGTGACAAGTGCCCTGCACCCTGTTATGGGTATAGTTTACTGAAAATGGCAAGGAAGGACATCTAGAGCCCAGAAAGCATCCTTCCTATTCAGGAGGTCAAGAAGAAAACGACACATGGAGGACCATTAAGGACACAGTCATACAAGGTTCCTATAAGCCAAATCTAGCTAAGCCTGTGTAAGAACTCACATAGTCAGGCTCAGCATGAGATGTTTCGTAACAACAAAAACATCATCCCTATTCCCCAAACCACAGAGTATTCCAACACACTCCCCCACCCACACACACACACACACAAACACCCTACAGTTATTCCTGAGAACTAAAAAGAGCTAAAGATCAATCAATCCGAGGCTCCCAAGAGAAGCAGACTCCTATGGCTCCTACAGCCTCTTCAGGACAGAGTCCCACCTCCTCAGGCAGACACTCCTACCTTCACTGTACTGTTCTGTGCAGACTCCTATTGCTTCAGCTCCCTTGGCTGACACAACAAAGCCAAATTCTCTTACAGGGAAGTGCAAACCATTTGCCTTTTCTCTCTCATGCTACACTCTATACATGAGACCTTTCCCTCCATCAAATCAGTGCATCTCAAACTTCAAAACACAGAATTCTAGGCAGCATGCTCAGAAAATCTAGTTTAGAAGTTCTCGAATTCCTTCATTTCCACCCTGCACCTCACACAAATGCCCAGATACAGAAAGAGAAGTTGAGTCTTAGGGGACAGCTTTGTGAGGATGGCACAGTGTCCTCTAGAGGTCTCCCCTAAAGCTGCTGGTACAAGGTTCCCAACCACATTATCAGAAACCGAGGTGGATAGCATACCAGTGTGCATAATTAACGCCAATAGCAACTTATCAGCAAAATGCACTCTTTTCACTCTTATTGTGACAACTCTATTCTCAAAAGAAGTTAGTTTAATATGGTCTTAGAACACTAAACAAGATATACTGAAGGAGTAAATTGCATACCTTACTAAGATCCTCTAAATTATAGTGTTCTTCTACAGATTGAAATGTCAACTTGTTTTACTAATCATATCATTTTGTATCCATTTGCCTATAGCAATGAAGCAGACACTCAGCTCACCAGACTCAGAGTTATGTAGCAAAGGTTTAAAGATCAAATGGGATATTAACCAGAAATCCTATACAGTCATAAATCTAAATATCCAAAAGTGCTTGCACATACACACAAACACTCTCTCTCTCTCTCTCTCTCTCTCTCTCTCTCTCTCTCACACACACACACACACACACACACACACACACACACACACCATGCTGCAGGATATGGCATTCAAATGAAATCATTACATTATAAATAGTTAATAATTATATTTTCAAATCCCAGTAATAAGATGATTTGGCCATTCATAAATATGTATAATCTTTCTGTACCAACACTGTCGACATAATTTGTTTTCCAACCCCACTGATTTTCTCTAGGCAGATGTATCATTTTCCAATTATGAAATTAAACATTCGATTTGAAAATATGTTGGCAGTCTAATTCCAGGTTTAATAACTTTCTGTGTATTTTCAGGAATATACACTTCTAAGTTTCAGGAGGAAACCATAAAATTTAAAATGGCTAATGAATTTCAAAGACTGCAATCAGCCTCTGGGCTAAACTGCTAAGGAGAATGTAAGCTTTTAGGGTTGGGGAAGCCTTTGGAGAGAAAAGCCACAGAGAACTGGAGACCATTGCCTTGGATCCAGACAGACCACAGCAGTGTCACAAACTAAAGCAAAGTACAAGAAATACTGAAACTACAGATCTTAAACTCAGGGATATTAGTCACAGAGTCTGACCGAAACTCTTCCTGCTGTCTCCCTGCACACTACATAAAGCAAACATATTTAGAAGGTGGAAAGACTTGGAGACACCATAGAAGATTCAGGTCTAGTTTGTTACATGTTCTACAAAAGAAAAATCAGGCATTTTAAAATATGGTGAATATATTTTTAATTTTGATAAGGGATTTTCCAAAGCTATGGGGGTTATCCTGAGCTGTGCAAGTGACAACAGTAATGGGAGGAGCTGGCATGCCACCCCACACCCCATCAGAGTCACTTGTGTGTGTGTGTGGGGAAATCCCACTGTCCCCAACTCCATCTAGGTTCCCAAATTGCTCTCCAGTGAAGAGAGCTTAAGACATCAGTTATGAGAGATGCATTTGAATTTTTAATTAGATAGACTGGGTGAAAGGGAGAAAGTGAGAAGGAGGAGAGGCAAGAGGAAAAGGGGGAAGGGAAGCAAAAGATAAAGACTACATGTAAATGACAAAGAGGGAGTCACAGGAGCTGGCCCTGAAGGAGCAGAAGGGGCTTCAGTGATCCCCAAGACTCAGGTTTCTTCCTTCTTGTGTTATGAGAGAAGCAACCACAGCCATCTAAAACCAAAAGAAACCACTTCCTTATCTAAGTACATTTGAGATGAATTGTGTCACAACCAAACAACCCTGCTATGAGTCACACGATAGATACATAATGAAAAACTGTGATTTTTAAAAATGAAAAAGTATGATGGGTTTGGTTCCTAGCACACAGGACAGCTTAAGACCATCTGCAACTCCAGTTCCAGGGATTTGATGCCCTCTTCTGGCCACTACTGACTGGTACTGTAGCAATTAGAAATTTTTTAAATAACTCTAAATATCCAAAAATAAATTTTAAAAATTTACTAAGTGTGGGTCTATAAGAGAAGATACAAACATAGACAAGGAACATAATCACAAAAGAACCAGATTATTTAAAATCGATATTCAGATAAATCAATATTAATATGCCAATGTTGATTCAATATTTTCCACAGACACATGTACAATGTTATATGATGTTGTTTCACAACATGTACTCTTTGAATAATACATTCTCCCAAGATCGATCCCCTTCTATGCTGAAATCATCCATGTGGTCATTTTAGTGGTGTCACAGCCTCTTCTTAGCTGATGCTTATAGCTTATCTCCTGATCTACTGTTCCTCATAGTTAATGTATCTCCAACTTCCCATTAGGGACTACAGAGGATGCTTTGCCAACCTATCCATTTCAGTAAGATAAGTTCTTTGGGAAGGAGGGCTGGTAAAATGGCCCAGTAGGTTAAGGGGTAAACGGACTTGCCACCAGGCCTAATGACCTGAGTTCAATCCCTGGGACCCTCATAGCTAAAGGAGATAAGTGATTCCCATACACACGATCTGCACCCCAAATATATAGTAAAAGATTTCTGAGACTCTCGGTGTGTGACACAAAATGCAGTTCTGATTCCAGGTGCTATTTATAGCCAGACTATGGCACCATATATCCATATTTAACAATGAAGCATGAAGGAAATGCATAAACCTAGATCGAAACAAGAATAGAAACTACATTACTACGTAGTACTGCATCTGGTTATCAAATAATATTGATCAGAAGAAGTCCAAGTAGTAGCCTCATTTTTTTAACAAAACTAATAAACCTTGTATCTGGCATTATTATTGAAAAACACATATACATACTTGTCCATTGGGATATATTTCAAGTGCATGTCACTTTGTTGATAGAAAACAAAATGCTTTTGATCCATTCTGAAATAGTGATTGGTCACACTGGTGGCCAAGATATACTAGCCATTTACAGTTTCACTTGCAAATGAAAACACTCCGGATTTAAGGAGTATTTGTTTTCATCTACAAAGGGTCAAAGTATATGGTCCCCTCCTCCTTCACTGGCAAATGTCTGGTTAGACATGCTGATTTCTATAGTGTTTCTGGCCCTTCACGAACTTTAAAGACCAAGGAGATGGCATGGATCCACTGGTGAGTGATAGGGGAGGTCCTTCTGTGTATATGTTAGTCTTATTGGTTAATGAATAAAGCACTGTTGGCCAAAAGGGAAGCAAGATAGGTGGAACTAGGAGTCAAGGAGGATTCTGGGAAATGTAGTAAAGAGAAGTCTTGTGATCCAGGCAGGAAGTGACATAGCAGGCAGAGTCAGAATTGCTCCCTTCCTCCTCCTCTCTTCTCTGGAGCCACCATGTGATCTTGGCAAGAGAAGATGCCTTCCTCTGGCGTCCTTATATGGTAAGTCTTTATAAAATATACAGATTAATAGTTATGGTTGATAATTAAGACTGATCTAGCAGCTAAGAAATCCTAGTCATTGGCCAGCAACATTGTACCTGTGTGTTATTTTGGGCACCCACGTGGCTGCAGGGTGCCGGTGGCTTGGTGGAAAAGATTTATCATTACAGGTGAATTTTGGGCAAAGTCTCCTTCCAGAATCTCAGAATCTCAGCAGCAACTCTGAAAGGGAGGGTGGAGTGGGCTTTCTTCTCTGACCAATAGCAAGTGTTCTAGGAAGTAGGGTGGGGTAAAATGACTGCCAGACAAGCACAGCAGCCATTTTTCCTCAGCAAAGCCTCCCAACTTTGAAAATTCTCTTGTAGAACATGCCATCACCCTGGCCCTGGCTCTGTAAACAGCTCCGTGCCTTGTCCTGAGCACTTGGTTAATATACCTGAAGGAGTCTGACATACCCTACTTTTGGAATTCCATGGTCTACTCTATAAACATGTTTCAGTACCTGGCTTGTCGTTATGTGATGGTCCCAGTGTTATTCCGGCCATGGCGGTCAGCCATTACCCTGTTCCTCTTCTTAGTCTCCCCATTCTGTCGGGCCTTATAATAAACTTATATTCTCAGTAATTTCTCTTTTCTTCTTTTTAAACAAAACAATAACACCCAGAATACAAGTTTTCAGAGCCTCAAAAGTGTTTAAATTTTCTTTGAGAATTTCATATATTGGTACTGTATCCCCATCATCTCTTCCCTGCCCTTTAAGAACATAGAGCATGACATTCATGCAGCATTTGTCTTGGACCATGAGCTGTCTCCAGCTTTTCATTTGAGGACCCAAACTCCAAATCCCAAGGTTTCTAGTGAGCAGTATTTCCTAAAGTTGACTAAGATCCCAAATATTGGCCCAGGGGACATCACCAACATCCACAGGGACAAGTTATAGTGAAACATGAGCCCATAAAAGGATATGATGAAGACATTTCATGACTTTTCCCAAAATGCATAACTCTAGATTAATCATGAGGGAAAAAAGTGAGACAGACACCAAATGAGAAATATTCCATAAAAAAATGCCTGAATACTACTCCCAACTAAACGTCAAGTTCATCAGAAAGCCAACAGTGGCAGAAGCTGTTGCGGTAAGGAAGAAGAAGCTGAAGCAGACTTGACTGTGAGTACAGTCTCCAGCCAGCCCTTGGTGGATCCTGGACAGATATAGCGTGTTAGGGAAAATGGAGGAGGCTTGGTACCCAGAAGCTTTAGTGGATGACCGTGTGTCCCTATACTGGACTATGCATCATAACTAATGAATTGCATTCCTGAGAGAAGTGAGTATCAGAAGCAACTGAGGGTGAGCCTGTGGGAACTCTACTATCCCCAAAACTCTGTTGTTCTAACATTGTTCTAAATTTAAAACTTAGCTAAAACTTAGTCAAGGCAATAAAAAATATCAATAGTGGATAAATACACCCTTTTACATGTTTTATGAAAGACATAAAGTTCCAGCCAACACCCTCCCCATCTTTCATATGGTCCTTTCTATATGTAAGCATTGGGGACTGAGGCCATATCATGTCATTCATAAGAAAACACATGGATTCTGTATTTAATTAACTATAAAAAAACCTTCTATAACAGGTTGAGTGCAAAACAATCCTGGAGTTTTGCCACTTATTAAAGACCCTCTCACTGTTTTCTCAATCCGCAATGATCCTACAGTTTTGGTCTTTTTCTTAACTTAAGGCTTTTCTGATAGCTTACACTGAAACAATAGTTGTCTTTTTACTCTGTTCTCATGTTCTGGGGTCTCATTGCTGCTTAGCTAAATGGTGTTTTGAAGTTAACACAACATACAAGGAAAAGTGTATGCTGTATACATGGCAAGCTCTGTTGACTAAGACTTACTTGGTGGTTGCGATGCAGATGCTTGATGGTGGAGGGGAAAGAAGAGGAGGAGGTGGGGTAAGGAAAACGTGAATGTGGTGGGATCATTTCCCTTACAGCATGGGCTGTGGCATGAGAAAGTGTTAGAACACTAGGGGTTGGTTGACCACTAGATGGAGGTGAGCTCTGTTACTTTTAAAGTATCTACTTTGATTATATGAAGATTTAACAACTGTTGATGTTTAAATAGCAATTCCTTCTTCCTCCCTTTTCTTCATTCCTTCTTCCTCCCCTCCCTCCCTCCCTCCCTCCTAACATAATTTGCTAAATTATCAGTGAATTTATTTAATAAAACAATGCCATTTCCCCTAGTTAAAATTAGTTCTTGTAAATTTTTAAGATTAAAATACCATGCTGCCCCTGTCTGAACAGTGCTATAACCCTGCTAGCCATTCTGTAAAATGACATTTCTAACCAGCCCTGATCAGGGAAACCTCTGGATTTAGTGTGGCTGAATTAGCACCTTCCATTCGCAACTCAAAAACAGAAGATGCCAGCCAACCGCATTGCAGACAATTCCACCAATGTCACCACAAGCTAAGGAGTCCCCTTGAAAATAGATAGTTACTTCAATGTTGGGGAGAGAGCAGGTCAGATCTGTAGACCCACAGATTGTCTACATATCCTTCCACTTAAATGTCCTCTTCCCTTTAACTACTTTATTTCCCTTTTAGAGGCACTGATTTAACCAAGCACACATCCAGGCTGTTTTCAGGCTAGTGTTGAAGAGAGTGATTATTAAAACATACCTATTACTGATGATCATGACGTGTATGAAAAATACTACCTCACACAACCTTCCCAGCACCAGACAGTAAACACAATGCTTTACCTAGGAGGGAACCAAACAGTAACAGACAGACACAAACTTGTGCCTAGCTAACTTGTAAAAGAAAAAAATTCCACTTTCCAATTTCTTATTACCATTTTCTTTTTTCTTTTTTTATTTGTTGAGGCTTTCCTACACTAATCATATACTTACACAATTTCTACCCTTTCCTTTCTAATTGCTATCTTAATTATATTATTCTGATCTGCAACATCCTTAAGATGGACAGTTGCTAAAAACAGAGTTTATTAAATAAAGCCAAGGTTTTTTGCAAACTACAAAGAACTAGTCACAGCTAAAGAACTCATTTCCTGCCACAGGTTGTTTTGTGTTCTGTTGTACTTCTACTGTCTTTTGCAGCAATTATTATTATTATTATTATTATTATTATTATTATTATTGATTTGGAGACTAATTCAGAAAGTCCATAAGCACACCTATAAATGTATATGTGAATACACATGAAGGAATGCTGTAAAATGGAAAGTAATAGTCAAAAGAAAATCTCAACTTTTCCCTACATTGCATTCAATAGCTAATTTACACATAAATTACACATATTTACACATATTTACACTGGCTTTTCAACTGTGAATACAAGTAAAATAAGCATCAGTTCATCATTCTTTTCTATTTCTCCATTCAGCATTATACTCACAATGACACACAATGAATCCCCGTTTTACTTAAAATGCACAGTGAGGTTCCATTGGTCTTAACATACTCATTTTCCAACATCTTTATTTTCAAAATGCTTTCTGTAATGTACAACTTTTAAGCTATTCCTGGGTTTCTAAAAACTGAGATCTGAGATGATGAAGCAACTAGAGCAGACTGTGGTCTGGGCTAGGGAAGGAATGTTCAGAAGCTCAATAGTTAACACAACTGTGCCACTAAATGCTAAATAAAAGAAAAACAAGATACTCTTTTGTAAATTTAGTACATTTAGAACTTGTTTTAAAAGAAGTTGAGGCAAACATCATGACACCCTATAATCCTAGCACTTGGGCCATGGCAGGAAGATCAAGCCTATGAGTTCATCCTTAGGGAGTCCTAAGTCCAGCCTGGGCTATACTTCTGAATGCGCACCAATGAGGACAGGAAAGGCTTGAGAGACTGGCCATGGTAGACCCTTTGTTTAAACTCCATCTAAGAGTATCCTGCACAAAGAATACCCTTCATGTGTATTTTTCGCATCAAATTTTATCCTTTGTCACCTACTACTCAAATATTTAATAATAATTATGTACTACCAGCACAAACTTATTCCCACTAATAGTCCCTAAATCATTCATTTCTGTTTAATGTAACTTTTGCCTTAGGTCTTAGAGTGCTCTCATATAGTGGAAAATACTCAATAACTTATACATACTTTTACCATATTCCAGGATGAAATTTGGGTTTCATTTTCATTTGCATATTAATCCTTATTTTACTGGATTATAATGAATTTCCCAGATATCATATTTATACTTCAGGGAACCCAGTAAATTGCTACTCATAGTCTCTATGTTTAGACACAGGATTCTGAGGAAGGGATTATGGAGACACAGAAATGTACTTTCTGTGTGCTGGTCTCATAGACCCTAAGAGACTCTTTAAAGCATGATCTAAGGGAATCTAAAAGTCAAAGCTGATGCATAGATGGACCAACAAACAATACTTTAATAATCTTCATGCATTATGGAAAGAACTGAACTCCAGGAGAAAGAGTTGGGCAGCGTCTACCTTCATCTCCATCTTTTAGGTTCCTAATCATCCAGAAAAAAGAAGAATGAGGGGTCTAGGAAGGTTGCACAGACTTCTTGAGTGTGGTTCCCCCATGGAAAGAGAAATCCTGGAAAAAGATCCTCTTCCCCTGCAGCTCTGATAACAGGTGTCTCTTTGCACATACAACGGGCAAGGAGAAACATACAAGGGAAAGGAAACCATGTAACACATGTTTAGGAAAAGATAACTTTAAAAGTATAGGAAATGAAGATAGCACAGCACCTATCACAGGCCAGAGATTCATAGTGGCAGATCTATTGTTTCTTGAAGATGGGAGGCAAACGTGTAAAAAGATACCTAGAAGAAAGACCAGTGGATGTGATAAGGCAGTGTTTTAGGACAAAGGCAGAAGGATTTTCACAGGTAGAATTAAGAGTCCCAAGCATGAACTAACACTAGGACAACATGTCAATGGTTCTTTTCCATTGTTCTCAAAAATTAATTAAATACATACACATATGAATACTCATGTTCATGCAAGGTAAAAAAATACAATATTGACCTTTATTTTTAGTAGTTTAAATTCCTACACAGTCATGCACTACTTAACAGTTATACTGTCAGAAACATGTAAGTTTTCAGTCAATCTTGTCCTAAGACAAATGTCATAAATTATCATTAGGTAATATAATCACATGCAGTCCATCACTGGCCAAAATATTGTATGTGGTACATGATTTTCTTTCTAAAAATATAATTGAGGAACAATATATGAGAGATTGTAATCAACAGATAGAAACATGTATTCCCATCTATGTAGAAACAACATGCCCTCAGTCACAGGGTCCAGAGAAACCTGAGTTGGAACTAACCTAAATATCCCCCATACCCTGAGGACTAGCTTTCTGATACCAGGTGTATACAGGCTTCCAAAAGAGGGAAGCAATCAGCAGTCCTACCCAGTGCAACAGCTATGAATCACAACAATGACCAGCCTGGCACAATAACCCAAACTGTGCAGTAGTGGCATGTGGCATGAATACTTTGGTTTTATCCAACAGTTTTCTCATTGTATTTAAGATTTAATTGATAAAATAGAAGCTATGTCTGATACTGGAAACCCAGTCAAAGGACAAGTGAATTTATGGTTCTTGGAGAACCTACAACCACAACTTTAGTAAAACAACATAATCCCTAATTATAATCTAAATTGTCCCGATACCCAAATATACATGGAGTTCTCACAACTCAGCAAGGAAACTTCTCTTTGTGATAGAGGGAGACCATTATGGAAAACCACAGCCAATCAAAACACAGTTCTGGAGATCAGTGCTTAATGGATACATAGACAAAACAATACCCATAGGGCATCCATGGCCTCAAGCTAAGAGGGGGTAGAAGCATGCCTAAAACCCCAGGTTTTCTCATCCTGAGAGCAGCAGAAGTTTGGCTCCCCTACTCCCACTGCCCAGATGCCAGCAGACCTGAGCAGTTAGGTACACATCCAAATGCCGATGTGTCCCAACTGCACATAGCAACTGATAAACTCAAGTACCTCCAAGGCTACAGGGAGTTCCCCTGGCCCTTGATCTCCTAAGTATAAAAATGAAGCACCCTTGAATGTTCTTGCCCCAACAAAAGACATACCATTGCCTGGCCCCAATTAACTATTCTTCCTAGGATTTAACTGTCCCTTACCCCCTTGGAATAAAAGAGCAGTCCAACGACACAGTCTCCCAGTGTTCTTTGGCTGTGCTTGGCCTGGTCTCATTCCTCCCAGGTCCCCTGAACTAAAAGTCAATAAGGATCACTGGTATGAAGAGTAGTTCATCCAGTCTTCTTGACTTGCAGTAATAAAAATGAAATACAGTCACATTTCTATGTATTTCCTATTAATATGTTTAAGTATGTGTTTACTTTGCCATGAAATTCAATGTGGATGAAGAAACAGAAGGGTGATTATCTTGCCAGGTATCATGCAGCTTACACAGAGACTTTAAATGGAAAGATCTTAAATAGTAAGGACTGAAGTAAAGAAACTGTTAATATAGATTCTAAAAATAGTTGTTTTTAGAAGTATCCTGCAATGTGAACATCAAATATATATAAAAAATGCTTGAAATATTTAAGTCCCAGTTTAAAGTGAATAAAATATGAGTCAGTTGCATAATATATGTCCATCAAAATAATTCTAAAGAATTTAACAAGTAGAAAGAGGAATGGAAACATGCTGTGAACATATTTTTAGTAAAAGGGAGAAAAATTGTAAAATCAGATCACACACTTGTGGTTTAAGTAGGATAAAATTCATAAGTATTAGAATTTATCTTGCAGAAGAAATTGGTTTGGTTGAGTGTCCTACTTAGATTTGACTGCCAACTTGATATAACCTAGAGTTAACTAAAAATGGATTGCCCAGATAGGCTGTCCTGTGGGTATATTTCTGAAGGGTTACCTTGACTGTTAATTGATGTATTTCATATCTTGATTTGTTTTCTATGCCTGTCTAAATGAGCTATTGTGTGACCAAAACCAACTTAGAGAGGAAATGATTTTCATCTTATAGCTTAGTGTCCATTATAAAGGGAAGTCAAGACAGGAACTTAAGGCAGGAACCTGGAGGCAGGAACTGAAACAGATCATGAAGGCATGCTGCATACTGGATTGCTCTCCATGCCTTTCTCATCCTACTTTCTTATTCAACCCATCATCACCTAGACATGCCACTGCCCTAAATAGGGTAGGTTCTTATATATACATTAACCACCAGTTAAGAAAATGTCTCTGAAGACTTGCCTAAAAGCCAGTCTGATGGTGGTATTCTCTCAGCTACTGTAACCTCTTTTCAGATGACCTTCACTTGGGATAAGGCCCTCCTTGGTCTCTGCCCTGACTTCCCTCAAGAACAGACTGTGAAGTGGACATGTAAGCCAAATAAACCCTTTTCTCTCTAGGTTGCTTTTGCTTCAGGTCTCTATCACAGGAATAGAAAGAAGAAAGCTAAAACAAAGTAGGGTGACTTAGATCCGTTTGAATGGTGCTATCCCCTGGGCAGATGGTCTTGTGCTGTACAGGAAAGCTACCTAACAATGATGACAGGTTTGGATTTCATCTTGTAGAGCAGGATTTGAATTCAAACGGAAATTGGTTAGTTACTCCCACATGCTCATGCCACTACTACACCAGTGGCAGTGTTTACTGTAGTTCGAAGGGTTCCCAGCCAAGCACAATCAATGAATACTTTTACTTTTCTCCCCCAGTATCTTGCACCTTCCAGCACTATGAAGTTTGGTCAGTGGGAATGACACTTCTATCAGATTAGTAGTATCATGTTCTGCTATTCAGATATATAATATCTTAAGCAAACAGGTCTTACTCTCAAGTTCTGCAGAGCAACAAATGATATTGACAATAACCTATAATATTTGGGGTTCTATGCTACCACACTGGCCAACAATTCAGAGGAAACCCATTCTTGGAACTTGGCTTTTTTTAGCCTGTAGTGTCTAGAAGGGACACTATTGGCCAACTATAGGGTAATTGTATTTTAATTCCACTTTCCTCCCCCACCTCAGTGTGTGTGTGTGTGTGTGTGTGTGTGTGTGTGTGTGTGTGTGTGTGTGAGTGTGTGAGTGTGTGAGTGTGTGTGGTGTATGATAGAATAGCACAAAGGCTGAGTCTCCACAAACACAGTTTGGAGTACTTCATCTTCTCTGGAAGGGCATGGACTGTTTTTCTCTCTCACAGTAATCATGGCACACTTCTAAAGCTGTCACAATTCTATTTTAGAAATGCAAAGTGGAAGATGGCCCTCTCAGAAGGGAATTCATCAATTTACATAGTTCCTGGAGATTCTTTCAGATATCTATTAACTTGTTAACACTTTTTAAAGTGAGGCAGCTTCCCAAGATTCTCTCTGTCAGATAAATCATTGAGTTGGTTATAAATAAAGTATTACACCTTAAATCCCTAAGTACCCAACCCAGAAAACTAAGTGCCACTGGTTTTCCAGAGAGACGTTAGATAAATTAATTGATGTTGATAATTCACTTCTTTCCTAACATTAAAAAAATGCACAAGTTAAAAATTGTACAGTTGTAGAAAAGACTCTGACACTAGACAGAAAGAGAAAACATTAACTATGCTAGGAGCATCACATTTGTAACTTATTTTCAACAAAATAAGTTGAAGTTTTTAAAAAATAAAATAAAAAGAAAATGCAAAAGAAAGGGTAACTCCTCAAGACCCTTTTCTTCCAAATTTAGCATTTTCCCTCAATAACTGCCATAGATTTACTTTAATATGTCTAAAATTATAAAAGCTACACTAACTGAACTTGTGAGCTCTGGGTAGGTTTTAGGGTAACACCTCTTTAATTTTATTGTACTAAGCAACAACATTTTTCTCCCAATATTCTATGGTGTTTTGGGAAGGAATAAGGTCATGAACATATCTGAAGAATTGTGTGATAGTGATATTGAGATAGATAGAATCTTGAATTAGTTAGGCAAAAATTCCACAGACAAACCCATGAGGTATACTTATGAGGGATTTGCTTCACTAGGGTGGAAAGACCTATTCTAAAAGTGTTCAGCACCATTCCTTTAAGAAATTCCTCTTCTAAAATGTTATTTCAAAGTATTGTTAGAGTATATCAAAACTGAGGCAGAGTCCTTACTTTTGCAGTTATAGGTGATAGATAGATGGATAGATAGATAGATAGATAGATAGATGATAGATAGGTAGATAGATAGATGACAAATGACAGATTATATAGAGATGCAGCTATTCAAGACTCCAGAGTTCTCCTGTCTATCTATTAAACCTATTCTTATACAATGTCCTTAATTTAATAAACTAAATTCCTATCCAACAAGGTGCTAAGGAAGTTGAGTCCTTCACTAAAATCTGTGAGAGGGATGATGTCCATTAATTTGAAGATAGATCAAATTACAAGTAACCTTACTTAACATTTTATAATTGAAAACATTGAATTCCAGGTTTAACTAACCCAGGATTCATGTTTATAGTGTGAAATGAAAAGTCCAAGCTTGGGTGGCGCATGCCTTTAATCCTAGCACTTGGGAGGCAGAGGCAGGTGGCGAGGCCAGCCTGGTCTCCAGAGCAAGTGCCAGGATAGGCTCCAAAGCAAACAGAGAAACCCTGTCTTGAAAAACCAAAAAAAAAAAAAAAAAGTCCAAGCTTGGTTGCTCCTCCACATAGATTCTTAGTGATTCAACATTATGACAATGGCACTGACTCAAAGTTTCTTCCCACAGAGAAAACTCTCATACACCCAAGAGTATATTGCTAGTCTTAATTTATGATGTTATATAATGCATTATAGTTTTCTGACTCGATGAGGCAATCATTATGAATGGAAACCAGCAATCCCTACATATTCTGTCCTATGAAAATCCTTATTATTTATGAAATTGCTTTAAATTACTTTGTTCATGTTCACCTGTGTGAAATATTCAGTTCTTGAGTATTTCCTGCCACCCCTGAACACCTTGGAAAATTCTGACTAACACTTGTTTATTAGGATTAATTATTTTATAAAAGACTCATATACTGACTTTTGCCATCCATTAAGCAGCTATAACCAAAGTTTACTCTTGTTTTCCTTTTGAGCTCCAATAAAATTTTATACTTTTCTGCTAGAGTGTTTTTCATGCAACTGTTTAGATTTTACCTGTTTCTTATCAATTTACTCTTCCTTGCAATTGCATTTTATATTTTCTGGCTATGGCTTCTATGTAAAAAAATCTCTGGTTTTCTGTTTTGAGATTTGATATGGGTATTCATATGCGCTTACAGGTTAGTTCTAATAACCTACAGGTTATTGTTCTCGGTGTCTTGAATGCATGATTATAAATTCCTAATCACAGCATGCCTTATGCGCCTTCATTTATGCACCTCTGATGTTTAGGATCATTTGATCTTGAGTGTTAGAGATCATGCAATGAGTTCTACAATTCTAGAACTCAATAGAAATATTTCTAATCGTTTGCTACTGAAAACATTTTTATTGGCCTGTATTAACAAGTTCAACAATTCTGCCTGTATTTTTCTGGTAAGATAATTATTTTTAAACCATACTATGAATTAAAGTTTCTCAAATGCATTTTGATATGATTTGGGAAGACAATAAAGCTTTGTCCTCATGGTATTAACCTACTGTGTTTAATTCATTAATTTTCTAAAATTCAGTCCTCTTTGTCTTTTTGAAGTCGGACTCATTCTCCTTTGATTAGTGTGAGTACTTAGACTTTTTTTTTTCTGAGTTTTGTTTTGATGATGAAAACAGAGACTGATCTGTTTTCATTTACTATTTATTCTCTGTTCATCAGTCATTGCATTTAAAAATGTGATAAAAATGAAATCATCTAAAGCAATATTTATTGACTTATTTAATTTATGTTTTTATTTTGAGACAAGTCTCTATAATTTTACTAAGCTGGTTTCAATTTACTTTAAAGCCAACTTAGACCTTAAACTTCTAATCTTCCTGCATTGGCTTCCCAAGTAACTGGGGTTACAGGCCTCAACTTCCAGTCTATTTCTTCTGAAAACTTGCTGTATAAAGATCTACACTGTACTGAGCATTAGGTACTCACTTTATATGCTGGGAATTTCATCCTGCATTAAAATGCACTGGTAGTGATTTCAACCAATAAAAGCCCTCACTCTACCTGCTTGAGGAAAACTCTCCCTTGGGAATTAATCTCAGAGTTTTCTCCATAAATTTATTTTTATTCTTTTGATTCCTGATATATTTGTACTTATTAACAGGTGAACCTATTTCATTCAGTTCCCACAATTTTCACATATGAGGAAAAAAAAAAAAACTGAGCCATGAATCTGATGTAGACAATGGGACAATCTTGCAATATAGAAAATAAAAATCATATGGCAGAGTTAGAAACCTGGACAGGCTAGAGTTGACTGTCATCCACCAAGAACAGGAGGGTCTACCTAATGTCATAGTATGTATAGTAATAGCAATTGTTTTGGAAATAGGATTTTTACTGATGCAATTAGCTAAAGTGAGATCACACTGGAGTAGAATGGACCCCTTCCAACATGGCTGTAGGTGTGGACAAACCAACCCAGAGGACATGAGAACTGAAAAGCCAGCCCCGCCCCTTGCTGCTCACTACATAGGGTGAGCTAGCCAGCTAGAAAGCTCATCCTGGCCCTGGATGAGAGAGAAACCACCTAGACCCAGAGCTAAACCCAAAGTTGCAGGCTCTCCATGATACAAGACAAATACAAGATATACGAGAGGAGCTCCCATGAAGGCCCAGGATTAATGATGTAGCCAAAAAAAAAAAAAAAAAAAAAAAAAAAGCCCTCAAACCAGACCAATGGTTCATTGTAATGAAGACTTACTAGTAATGATATATGGATTAAAAGGTATTCTGTGGGAGTCATTCTGTCACGTTACAGCTTCTACAATGAGATTTTTCTTTTCTTTTGTGTTTTTCTACCTTCTTTCTTTTTAAACTTTTATCTTGCTTTATCCTGTGGGCAGAGAAGTTGCAAGGGTGGAGGGCAGATGGGAAGAGACAGGGAGATGAGGGGGGGCTCAAGATACATGATGTGAAATTCACCAAGAATCAATAGAAATTTTTTTAAAGATAGTAGCAAATGGACAAATGCTATAGGAAGACACAGAATCTGAGTTGACACATTTACAAATCAAGGGGCTGCTAGAGGTTGGGCACAGCATGGAAGAATCCTCTTTACAGAGTCTAGAGGGATCATGGCTCTATCAATACCCTGATTTCGTATCTTCAGTCTCCAGAAGCCTGGGGTAAGATACTTCTGTTCTTCAATAGTGCCATTGGCGTTGCTTTGTTCAGGGAGCTACAGAGAAGGTGGTGCGATGGCTCCAAGCCAGGAGAGGAGATAGAGATTCA